TGATTATGCCTTCTTAGACTATTCATTTCTATTTGTAATTCCTTCTTTTCCCTTATTAGAGTACTTTTAGAGTAGCATAAAAATATAGGAAAGTGCAAAAGTAAAAAGTCCTGGCTGCTTTCTGCTCAAAATTGAGCAGTAATGGTGTCCTGAAATAGAGATGATGCTGACATGTTTCCCCCCTCCTCAGAAGGAAGTTAGGATGCAGGGGAGCAAGGCAGGACAGAGCTAAGGCCAGGCCCTGGGGGCGGGGGGGGGGTACTAGTGGGAATGCTTGGCTGCCTGGGGCTGGGGGCAGGGAGGGAAGTAGGTGGCGGGCTGTGGGCCAGGTGGGCTGAAATGGTGGCCCACGGTCGGTGGACAGAAATCAGGGGCACCCATGCTTCCCCTTCAGACAGCTGTTGAATGCTGGGTTGGATTCCAATCCTGGTACTTGGGGTCGGGTGCAGCTTGTGAGGGACAGGTAGAGATGGTGGTGGCAACAGGCAGAGCGGGACTGTGTCCAGGGCCAGAGCAGACACCAGCTCCGGTTACACACACATTACATTGTGTGTGTTGGGGGAGGGGGCTGTAATCGCTTAGGCCTTCCTCCCAGAGACAAGGGAGGCCACTGGGCTTCCTCACCCACCATGCTCTCTGAAACATTCGGGGCATCAACCCTTCGATGTGGTGCTATTCATACTATGTCTAAGCCCACAGGGTAGGGGGTGAAGGCTACTGCTCTCCTGACCTCCCGCTGGCCAGGGCTGGATGCTCAGTGGGCCATCTGGGTCCGGAGATGCCGCCATCTTGTACTGCACCATCTGGAATGCGCAGTCTCCTCAGACACTGTGGCAGGGAAGAGACAGCTGGAGGTTCACATCCTGGGTTTGGATATAGCACTTCTACTCCTAGCCCTTCGACCAGAACTACTTTTGCAGCCCCCCTTGACTGCAGAGGGCCGGGAAATGGTGGGGCGGGGGTGGCGAACAGATGCAGTATTTGCTGAGCACCGCTGGCTTTGTGACAAACCAGATATCCAGAATGGAGCAGGGCACACATCAAGATCCATATGTCCGTAGGCAGGACCATAATAGTGTGCCGTCTTGAACACAGTGCCTGCTTTCACACCTGCAACATTAGAAACAAGAGACCTTCATCCTTTCACTTCTCTTTCTTCGTGTTTCTTGGGACCATATTTTTTGAACATGTGTCTGGCATTAAGAACTGACTCAGAACCAAAGACGGCATTATACATAAAATACCTGTTATCTTAGAAACGGAGTTTCTTACTCTCCTTTGCCCTCCAAGATGTCTATGTTACACTCTCTTCTCTCTCCTGAAGTCTCCTTCTTCCTCACTCTTAGTTGATGTTGTGGCCTCATTTCACGGAGGAATCCGAAGCAGTCCCCAGAGGACTGTCCCATTGTCCCTTCCCCTCTTCTACTGGCACCTCATCCCTCTGCCCGTCGACCCTGTGAACTTCCTGTCCCAGTAAGAGGTTCTCCTCCTCATTACCCACGGTCACACTTCCACCAGTGCATTTCAGCTCCTCTGTTCCGCTACTTTGCTCATGCAGCTGTCCCTGTCACTAGTTTTACCCCCTCTACTGGATCATTTCCATCGGCACATAAATTTAAAAACAAACAAACAAAAAGCCTTGACCTGATTCCCCATTCAGCTCTTCAGGCAAAATTCCCTCAAAAGAGTGACTGTACTTGCTATATCCACTTCCTCTTCTCCTGTCCTTTCCTGGACTCAACGCTAGCCAGGCATTCAGTCCCCACTGTGCCATCAAAACCTCTGGTTAAGGTTGCCATTTGCCTACAATCTTGCGAAAACACCAGTTTTACATTCCTGTCTTTTCAGCAGCCTTTGAGACCTTGGATTGCGGTCTGGGTTTTCTTCCTTATTCTAAGTCTCCCTTGCTGGAAACTTTCTTTATTTTCTGACTGCTTGCTTTCTTTCTTTTTTTTTTAATTTAATTTTATTATGTTACATTAGTCACCATACAAGACATCATTAGTTTTTGATGTAATGATCCACTATTCATTGTTTTTGTATAACACCCAGTGCTCCATGCAGTACGTTCTGACTGCTTTCTTGTTGGAATGTCCTAGAGCTCTTCCCTGGGCATTTTCTCTCTCTACAGTCACACCTGCGTGATAGCATCTAATCCCAGAGCTTTAAACAGTATTTACACACTGATAATTTTCAAACATATGTTTCCAGGCCAGGTTGCCCCCTTGAACTCCTTACTTTTAAGTCTAATTGCATGCTCAACACTTCCACCTAGATGTAGTATAGACATCGCAGATTTAATGTGTCAAAACCAGACCTCTTGATATTCCCGCCGCCCCCCCCGCCACATACCTATTGACCAATTCTGCTTCTCCCACAATCTTATTTTCTCAGTCATTGGCAACACCATTCACCCAGCTGCTCAAGCCAAAAAGCTCATCATTAATTCTTCCCTTTCTTCTTACTTCTCATCTAATTCATTCACAAGTCTTAGGAGATCCGCCTTCAGAATATATCTACAGTCTGGCCATCTCTCACCTCCTCCCTTGCCACCGCCCTGTCACACACCATCCTCATGTCTTCCTGGACTTTCCAATAAGACCACCACAATAGATTTGCTTTCCTCTGATGGGGATGACAGTATACCTTCTTCATTTTGCATCAGGATTATGTTGGTTCTCTGGCTATGGGTCATATATCACAGATCTATTGATCCTGTCACCTTCCTATGTGCTGCTCAACGTTGATGACATCATGCTGATGAGCAGGAGGTAGCAGATACCTTGGATGCTCAGGCAAGATATGTGTATGCCAAGGAGGTGGAGATGAACTGCACAAAAATTGAGAGGCCTGCCATCTCAATAAATTACCTAAGATCCCATGCCTTAGATTTACTTCTTACCGTAAGAAAGCGGCCATGGATCTTTGTGGATCTTTTTTAGTTTTCAAGGTACATATACAATTTGAGTGTGCTTCTGCACGTAGCTCTAAAGCCGCCAGGGGTGAGTGGGGTGCAGCTGCTGGTCAGGATTGTGTTGTAAGCAGCCGTGCCACTGGCTTCTCATGAGCCAGCAGATTCGATGACGCTCTAAATGTCTGCAGCCTACATGGCTGGGGGGGCCTGTCTGGGTCCTTGCTGAGACCTGCAGCATGCCTCCCGAGGAACGTACAGCTTGTCCCCCAGGGCCTTAGAGTAAAGACAAGAATTTGTTTGTAGGAAAACTGTTCTGCTTTTGGATTTCTCCTGGGCGAAGGCTACTGTTTGGGCTAGATGGTCAAAGTCTTGAAAAGAACCAGATTTGGAGATTAGTGATGATTCCTAGGGAAGAGGTATTTGGATGGACTTCTCAGCATAAGCCAGAGGATAACAATATTTGTGTCCCATGTGACTGCTCAGCAAAAGGCACTTAATGCAGAGGAGGTTTTCAGTAATTAGATGGGTAAAATGCTCTGCGAATGTCAGTCAGTATGTTTCCCCAGCCACCCTCCTGTTTGCTGGGCTCATAAACAAAATGGCCCATGGCAAAGATGGGGCGTGTGTGTGGCCTCAACAGTAGCATCCTCCTATCAAGATAAATCAGGCTACCGCCACAGGAGAGGCTAATACTGCGCCCCCAGTGAAGGCTGTACTCCAGGGGGGTCCAGTCTGTAACTTGGTGGCAGGTGAGTAACACCAGACTCTTCATCATGGAGGAAGCAGCAATTTGTCCTTCCCAGATCCTGACCCTATTCTAGACATGGATCTGCCTTCCTTGCACACCATGGTTCTTCAGCAACATTGTGTGTAAATTGACTGAATGCCTTCCCTTCCATCATTGTATCCCATCTGAGATTGCTTCGGATTATTTGACTGTAATAAATAATTTATGAAATAAATAGACATAAATAAATAAATGTGGCCCTGAACACAAAATTTCTTGCCCTTTGCCTTTGGTCCATGAGTTATTGATCTTTGAGGGGTCCACAGACTTCTTGCTTTTCTTTGCCTCCTTGTAAGAGAAGACTTTGTGGGGTTTCGGGCAGCTGGGGCATGTCTGAGAGGGGCTCGAGCAGAAGGGAGGAGCCAGGCCAGCGTGCTCGGGCACTACGGGTCTAAAGGGACTCTGGGCTCCTTCTTGCTTGCCCACAGTGCCTATGTCTTTCCACTTCTGGATTTTCACGAATAACGACCACTGACTAGAACTGATGAAAGGGAAATCAGGGGGCGCCTGGGTGGTGCAGTCAGTTAAGTGACCGAGTCTTGGTTACAGCTCAGGTCCTGATCACAGGGTTGAGAGTTCAAGCCCCACGTGGAGCCCACTTTAAAAAAAAAAAATAGTAATAATAAAATAAAATGAAATAAAATGGCAAGCCTAGCAGGAGTTAGCAGTGCTCCCATCTGAGAATTTACTGCAGCACTGGATGGAAGGTAGGTCGACCACACTGTCAGCCTCTGTTAGGTGGTTCATTGGAAATGAACAATATAATGCGTATATAAATTAACCGTATAACGTTATATATGGGGCACCTGGGTGGCTCAGTCGGTTAAACGTCTGCCTTTGGCTCAGGGCATGATCCCAGGGTCCTGGGACCGAGTCCCGCCTCGGGCTCCCTGAGCCGGGGGGGGGGAAGCCTGCTTCTCCCTCTGCCTGCAGCTTCCCCTGCTTGTGCGCTCTCTCTCTCTCTCTCTCTTTCTCGCTCTCTGACAAATAAATAAAATCTTAAAAAAAAACAACAAACCAACCCAATGTTGTATATGTACTATTTATAGCTATCTTGCCTTTTCCACCTTCAGTGAGATCGGGCCTTGGTTTATGCCATGAATCCAGTATTGCTTTGTCCTCCAGGCGCTAGTGCCCCGGTCTTTCCTCCAGGAAGAGAGCGTCGTGGTGCACATGCGCACATCGCGTCTCCCCCGGTGCCTCACAGGCCACAGGAATTGGGCAGCGATGATGCGAGTGAGTAGATGCCTTGTACTTAACCGTGTCTGACACACGACCCCTGGCTCTTCCCGCCCATAGCTGTGCATGTCCGACGAGCTGTGGGAGAAGGTAGTCCAGTCTGCCTGTGACACCATCACGCCGGACATGCGGGCCCTGGCCACGGACATAGGCTGGAGGCAGATGTTCTTCACCAACAAGCTGCAGCTTCAGCGGCAACTCCGCAAGAGGAAACAGAGACAAGAGAGCCAGGGAAACAGTAAATTTTAGGGACACATTTTCTTACCTGCAGGGGGGTCGAGGCCTGGGTGTAGTTCCCTTCCGTGTCCAAATCTCTCCCGTTTCCTTCGACTACGAACTCAGATTTGAACTTGGTGATTCAAGGAGCCATCGGAAAAGCACACCGGGTTTGCACACACCTGCAGCCCCACCCGACTAGGCGGGGCCTCGCTTGAACCACGGTCCCCCTGTTGGAGGGTCCAGTTCGTGGCCCCAGCAAAGGGCTGCTGGATAGGAAGCCCGGACACCCGTAAGAAAAAGAGGCTTCTGCTGTACAGAAACAAACAATAAATGGTTATTCGCAGGTTTTTACTCCTTATCTGTTTTGCTCTAGGCATTTGAAAGGATTACTTGCGCTTCTGAATTTTGGCCTGATAGAGGGGGCTCCGCGTCCCCACAGGAAACAGCGAGGGGCAGGGGCCACGGGAGGCAGCCTGGTGGGCACGGCCGCCTTCCCAGCGCTCTTCCCCTACGTTTTAACTCAGGGCCCTGTCATGTGGCCCCTGGATACCAGGCTCTGTCCCTGCAGGTGGACAGCCTCCGATCTGGCCCTGGGGTGTGGCTGGAGCGAAGTCCACTATTGTGCTCACAGAGCCTCTCCAGAGTCCAACTTTGCGGGACTTCACATTGCCAAATAAGCCTATAAACTTTCCTTAGGGGGATGCTGCCCCAATTTCCCGTCCCCGCAGGAATGCGGAAAACTACCCCTTCTACCCCAGGGATTTTTAAGATCTCAAGCTGTGGGTAACCCAGTGAAAACCCAAGTGCGGTTTGTAGTCTATTAACTTGGAAGAGGGGTAAAAACAGTACAGTTTGAGGGGAGGAAACTCTGTCTCTCTGAATGGGTAATTTACAAATTGTTTTCTTCCCAAGCTTTCCTGAGAATAAAGTAGTCCCTCCCCCCGCCCCGCCCCGCCCCGCCCCCCCCATGACACTCAAAGCAGCAAATCATCTGATGACTCCTTTTAGGCTACAGAAAGAAGTAGCTATCAACCTCCCATCACCTTATGCCATTTCTTCTTTCCCTGCAACCTGCACTTTAGTGCCTGGAAGAAATAATACATGCCCCACCTGCTCCCCGTGCAGAGGAATTTCCTGTGTTATCTTGAGGCCTCCAGCATGGGCTGATCTCCCCACTCAAGTCCTCCTGAATGGCTTGGAGCCACGACTTCAGGGATCTTTTTTACTAAACCTGTGTTCGTATCAAACCAGGTTTAACCCCCATCCCTTAAAACTCACCCCCTTAAAACTCAGTCATGTATTTCCAGCGACATCTGTGAAATCGAGCGCAGTCGGCTTCCTGGCAGATGAGGAGCCTGTCAGAGTTGTTTCTGGATGTAGTCCAAGCAAAGAGCAAAGGTTTAATTGGCGAGAGAGCCGGGCTGCCTTCGCCACCCAGGAGGGCCTCTGCCAGGGTGATACAGGTGACTGCCGGCAGACCGGGGGGGGCACGCACTTCTGCACAGATCCTGCAGCCTTGTTTCTCCCCGAAGTCCGCAACCTCACTCAGGGCCAGAACATCGATTAATACCTTGTGTGCGCAACGACTGTGTGTATGCACGGTTTGGTACGCAACATAACTGCATAAATAAAAAGTCACAGCTCCTTCGTAACATCGATCCAAATACGTCAACAGCTTAAGCATTTCATATGTCCTGTTTAATCAACTAACCGAGACTCTGAAAGCTTATGGGCAGACAAGACGTTCTAGATTCAACATGAATCAGTAAGAACACAAACGTGGCCATTTGAAAACTCTTACTATCTGCGGAAAATATTATAACATAAAAATAGATACTAACGGCAGGGCGCCTGGGTGGCTCAGTTGGTTAAGCGACTGCCTTCGGCTCAGGTCATGATCCTGGAGTCCTGGGATCGAGTCCCACATCGGGCTCCCTGCTCAGCAGGGAGTCTGCTTCTCCCTCTGACCCTCTTCCCTCTCGTGCTCTCTATCTCTCATTCTCTGTCTCTCAAATAAATAAATAAAATCTTTAAAAAAAAATAGATACTAACGGTAAATAGCAATGAAAAATGACTTATTGATACATTGGCTATTGCTGATAGTAGTTAAAACAGCACAGGTTATTATTATTCCAGTGATTATTAGCCCTAATAATTTGGGTGCCTTATTACACAATTATAATTTTTTTGGTCCAAAAAAAAAAAAGCAAACAAATATTACCAACCTAAAATTCTGCAGGGGACTGGTATCCTCAGCGGTTGAAACATTTTGCCCCTCTTCTTCAGCCTCATTTTCTGTGTTAGATCCCACGGGGCAATCCCATCAGATGGGAATAGATAGCTACACCTCTCTGCCTCCACAGACAGCTTTTATGTGGACGAATTACTCTATGTGTGACATACCATTTCAGAGTGAAATGCCACAGCATTTTATAATCTTATCCTTTCCCATCTTTTAAGTCAAAAGTGTTTCTAGTCTGTTCTCATTTACCATTGTAATAGTAAAAGCAAAATGCTGATATTTTCTGATGATTTATATGTTTAGTTTTTTAAGAACAACTACTGAACAACAGCAAATGTGAAAGTTTATAAAATAAAAAAATAAATATATTTTACTTACTATCAAGTTCCGTTACTGCTTTTTTTTTTTCCTGAACATGTTAGCATAGTACGTGCCTTCAACCCCAGTTATAATGGAATCCAAACTATTGTGCACTGGGTAGACTCAAGAACTGAGACTGAGATTATGAATTTATAAAAAGATTTTATTTATTTATTTATTTGAGGGAGAGAGAGAGAGCAGGGGGAGAAGAGAGAGAGAGAGAAGCAGACTCTGTGCTGAGCATGGAGCCCAATGTGGGGCTCGATCCCACGACCCTGAGAACATGATCCGAGCTGTAATCAAGTCGGATGCTGAAGGGACTGAGCCACCCAGGCGCCTCAGACAGATTATGACTGGAGTGAAGGATGGGAAGCAGGGGTAGGGACAACTCGCTAGCCACCACTTATCATTGTTTTCCCAGCGGCTTCTGTCCAAGATGGTCACCAGCCCTCATTAATTACCCCAACCTGACTCCCAAGGTGCCAAAGACTAATATAGAACAACCTTACCAAAAACATAAACATGTCCACGGCATAGTTTTTTGCTCTGAGATTTAGTGGGATGACATTTATCTTCAGTTTTTGTTAAGATAATATACTATGGGACAATATCCAAGCTTTTCAACTCTGAATAGTTGGTTTCAAATGACGATGAATGTCTTCACTTGGGTGTTAAAAACGCTAAGTAGACAAGCTACCACCACATGAAAGAAGGTGCCCTGGCAGTTAGGAGCATAATGCCATGTATCGGGTCATTTTACAAAGGAAAATTGCTATCTTAGATTTATGCATTTATTGTTTTGAAACGAGATCATCCACACACTGGGATAGCAGTGGTTTGTCCTCGTAATGTGGAGTCCTCAGGGCCGGGAGCCACAGAGAACTCCCACGTTCCCTGTTTATTAGTTCCCAGATCTGTGTTCCTTCCACAGAGATCTCCATTCAGAAAAGTAATTTTCAGTTGTGAAATTTGTTCTGCACATCCAGGAAGTCTTACAGCCATAGATCCATGGTCACAGACTGAGTTGGAATAACCTTAGAAATAGTAAAAATAATAATAATAATAATAAGAAGAGCAGCTTCTATTTGTTCAGTGTCTATTGGGTGCCAAAAAACAGATAGTAACCAACTTAATTCTTACAGCAACCCTTGAAGGTAAGTGATTATTTATTATTTCTGTCCCATAGATCAGAAATCTATAAGCTATGGTATAGGCCTAATTTGACCAGCCACTTGTGTCTGTAGAATAAAGTTTTATTGGAGCACAGTCTATGTATTATCTATGGCCACCTTCACATGACAATAGCAGTATTAGGTAGTCACAATACAGACTATATGGTCTGCAAAGCTGAAATTATTCTCAAAGAGGACAAATTTCCCAAGGTTTCATGATTAATAAGTGGTAAAGCTGAGATTTAAATCTATACTGAAAGTCTGTGTCCTTTTTTTAAAGATTTTATTTATTTATTTGACAGAGAGAGACATAGCAGGAGAGGGAACACAAACAGGGGGAGTGGGAGAGGGAGAAGCAGGCTTCCCGCTGAGCAGGGAGCCCGACGTGGGGCTCGATCCCAGGACCCTGGGACCATGACCTGAGCCGAAGGCAGACGCTTAACAACTGAGCCACCCAGGGGCCCCCTGAAAGTCTATGTTCTTAACCACAAGTGCCACATATCACTTCTCCTTTCGGAGCCAACACCGCATTTGACCAATGGAATTTGAAAAGGTGATGGGATTTACCCAAGGTCATTTGAAATTATTAGGCCCTGAGCACAATATAAGAGACCATTCTAATTTAGTTATCCAGAGAATATTCCAAGCTTTTGATGAACTAAATTATTCATTTTTTATTATTTATTTATTTTTATTTAAAAAAATATTTTATTTGTTTTATTTTGTTTATTTGTTTTATTTTATTTTATTTTATTTGTTTATTTTATTTGTTTATCTGAGAGAGAGAGTGAGAGAGCTCCCGCTGAGCCGGGAGCCTGACACGGGACTCAGTCCCAGGACTCTGGGATCATGATCTCAGCCAAAGGCAGACACCTAACTGATTGAGCCACCCAGGCACCCTTTATTTTATATTTTTTATTTTTAATATTTTAATTCCTGTGCAGTTAACATACAGTATTATATTAGTTTCGGGTGTACAGTATAGTGATTCAACAATTCTATATATTACTCAGTGCTCATCAAGGTAAGTGTCTTCTTAATCCCCTTCATCTATTTCTCCCATGCCCCCCTCCACCTCCCATCTGGTAACCATCTGATTGTTCTCCATACTTAAGAGTCTGTTTTTTGGTTTGTCTCTCTTCTTTTCCCCTTTGATTGCTATTTTGTTTGCTATTTTGTTTCTTAAATTCCACATATGAGTGAAATCATATGGTATTTGTCTCTCTCTGATTGGCTTATTTTGCTTAGCATTGTACTCTCTAGATCCATCCATGTTGTTGCAAATGGCAGGATTTCATTCTTTCTTATGGCTGAATAATATTCCATTGTATCTTTACAAAGATACATCTTTATCTATTCATCTTCTTTATCTATTCATCTATTGAGGGACACTTGGGCTGCTTCCATAATCTGACTATTGTAAATAATGTTACAATAAACATAGGGGTGCATGTATCCCTTCAAATTAGTGTTTTTGTATTATTTGGATAAATACCCAGTAGTGCGATTACTGGATCTTAGGGTAGTTCTATTTTTAAATTTTGAGGAACCGCCATACTGTTTTCCACTGTGGCTGCACCAGTTTGCATTCCCACCAACAGTGCACGAGGTTCCTTTTTCTCCACATCCTTATCAACACTTGTTGTTCCTTGTGTTGTTGATTTTAGCCATTCTGACGGGTGTGAGGTGATATCTCATTGTGGTTTTGATTTGCATTTCCCTGGTGATGAGTGATGCTGAGCATCTGTTCATGTGTCTGTTAGCCATCTGAATGTCTTTGTAGAAATGTCTGTTCATGCCTTCTGCCCATTTTTTTCATTGGATTACTTGTTTTGTTTTTTTTTTAGTGTTGAGTTATATAAATTCTTTATATATTTAAAATACTAACCCTTTATTGGCTATATTGTTGGCAAATATCTTCTCCCATTCATTAGGTTGTTGTTTAGTTTTGTTGGTTGTTTCCTTTGCTGTGCAGAAGCTTTTTATTTTAACGTAGTCCCAATAGTTTATTTTTCCTTTTATTTCCCTTGCCTCAGGGGACATATCTAGACAAATGTTGCTACATCTGACGTCAGAGAAATTTCTGCTTGTGCCCTCTTCCAGGATTTTTATGGTTTCAGGTCTCACATTTAGGTCTTTAATCCATTTTGTCTTTAATCCATTAATCCATTTTGAGTTTATGTCTGTGTGTAGTGTAAGAAAGTGGTCCAGTTTCATTCTTTTGCATGTAGCTCTCCAGTTTTCCCAACACCATTTGTAGAAGAGACTTTTTCCATTGTATAGTCTTGCCTCCTTCATCAAAGATTAATTGACCATATAATTGTAGGTTTATTTCTGGGCTTCCTATTCTGTGATCTGTGTGTCTATTTTTTGGGCTAGTACCATACTGTTTTGATTATTACAGCTTTGTGATATAACTTGAAGTCTAGAATTGTGGTACCTCTATGTTGGTTTTTCTTTTTCAGGATTGCTTTGGCTAGGGGCACCTGGGTGGCTCAGTCAGTGAAGCCTCTGTCTTCTGCTCAGGTCATGATCTCGGGGTCTTGGGATTGAGCCCCGTGCCGGGCTCCCTGCTCAGTGGGGAGCCTGCTTCTCCCTCTGCCTCTCCCCCTGCTTGTGTGCTTTCCCTCTCTCTGTCAAAGAAATAAATAAAATCTTAAAAAAAAGATTGCTTAGGCTATTTGGGGTCTTTTGTGGTTCCATACAAATTTTAGGATTATTTGTTTTAGTTCTGTGAAAAATGCTGTTGGTATTTTGATAGGAATTGCTTTAAATCTCTAGATTTCTTTGGAT